CGCCGCGCGGCGTCAGCAGGTGGCGCAGGCGGCAGTACAGCGGCGCGAGCGCGCGCGGGCGCGGCGGCGGCGCGCGCCGGTACTGGGCGTGCGAGTCCCAGCTGCGCTCGGTGAGCTCGGTGCCGGCCGGCGAGCGCCCGCCCGCGCCCGCACCGCACCCGCTGCCCGCTATCTCGAAGTCCTGCTCCCACACCCGTAATATTTGTTTAGTACACAGCACCACGCTACGATCCGGTAATTAGGAACATAATAAAATTAAAACTGCATTAAAAAAACTGACTTCAAAAAACCAAAAATGAATAACTATCAAAAATTCAAAACTAAAAAGCAAAAAATAACTGTTATCAATACTGATAGGTTACCCACCCACTGATAGCTTAGAAGTCGGTGCCATAAGTACCATACAAAATTATTCATTAAACTGTCAAACACCAAGCGGTCACCGGTGACCGCAACCTATTGTTCTATAATTGTGTCTACAAAACCGGTACTCGACGAGTTAAAACCTTAATAGGTACCTAATTCATAATTATACATTATATTAAGTTATATCATTATGATATGAGCTTATGGCACTGACTTCTAAGCTATCAGTGGGTGGGTAACCTATCAGTACCAATAACGGTTATTTTTTGCTTTTTAGTTTTGACTTTTTGATGGTTATTAGTTTTTGGTTTTTTAAAGTCGGTTTTTTAAACGCAGTTTAAATTTTATTATTTTATCATTTTCAGTGTAAAGCTACATATACCCGTTTTGTTACTTACAATCTACAAAGGTGCAAAGTTCTAATCAATACAAATTATACAAGCCCAAACACAAGGTAGTTACAGTATACCGTTGAGGAGTTCCCTTAACAACTACACTTCTTCATCTTTAGACCCTTAATGACAGCGCCACTCTATCTAGGTGTTAAGTCCTCATCAATACAAATGAATCAAGCCCAAACACAAGGTAGTTAATATAAACCGCTGAGGAGTTCTCTCGACTGTCTGTCGGCTCCATCATCAGGTCGACTTCAGACCCTTATCAAATTGTAGTGTTTAAAAATCTCAATTGAAAAACATAATAGACGCATTACTCGCCCATAGAATTTTCGAAAGTTCCCCTCGGTTTTCCTAGGATCCCATCATCAGATCCTGATCTCATGGAAATGGGACAATCTCGGGAGTATACCCTTTCAAAGAAAAAAAGAATTTTGGAAATCGGTTCACAGTTCGGCGGAGTACTGCGCGAACAAACAAAAAAAAAAGAACAATCAGCCGAACATAGTACCTCCTCCTTTTTTTGAAGTCTGTAAAAATGTTAAACATTGAAATGAATGTCAAATTGTTACCTAAGGTGAATAAATATACTACTTCTTTCACTTTAAATCCAAATCGACCAATTTTTGCCATTTGTAATCATCAGTACATCATCAACCTCAAACACGATATTTATTTCAATTAATCGTTAATTAGTCACTTGGAAACGTCAAAATGAATTGTCAGTGATAGGTGCTTGTTCTAAAGTGTGTAGTTTCTAATAGAGACAAACGAGCAAGAACCTTCATTCGTACTCTTTTCAAAAAACATGTTTTTTACGATCTCACAAATACATTACATGATCCATATCTATCGTATACGTATGTGAGACGTTGTTCTAACGACAATACAGCGAACTAAAAACAAATCTAAAGACAACCGTCTCAAACATGGTGCCCACACATGTAAACTTACAATTTGAAATAATGCTTCTTTCAAATGAAATTCTTTTTAAATGTTTACATAGGAACCATAACTTATCTTAGGATATCCAGATTACATAGGAATTAAGACGTAAATTCATTCTGGGAGTTTACGTAACTACTGGCTGTGTTTGAAGTATTGTCTAATAAATGAGTGTCCAGTGGAGCCGGACCAAGCAACGCATATACGTTAGTTTATAGTATGATTGTTTATATAGTTCGCGCTTTACACAGAGAACAATATTGTTTTTGGATACTAAACTAAAAGGTTTTATTAGTAGAATAAAGTCATATATTTTTTTTGTTTGTTTGTGCATTACTACGCCGTTTGTGAACGGATTTCTAAAATTCCTCCCGAGATGGTCCCATTTCCATGAGGTCAGGATCTGATGATGGGATCCTAGAGAAACCGAGGAGAACTTTCGAAAATTCTAGGGGCGAGTAATGCGTCTACTATGTTTTTCAATTGTGTAAACACTACAATTTGAAAAGGGCCTGGAGTCGACCTGATGATTGAGCCAACAGACAGTCGAGAGAACTCCTCAGCAGTTTATATTAACTACCTTGTGTTTGGGCTAGATTAATTTGTATTAATGAGGACTTTACACCTAGATAGAGTGGACTGTCATTAAGGATCTGATGATGAAGAAGTGTAGTTGCTAAGGGAACTCCTCAACAGTATACAGTAACTTGTGTTTGGGCTTGTATAATTTGTATTGATTAGAACTTTGTACTAATGTCGTGGTGGCCCGGAGGTTTAAGACGCCCGCTTCTCATGCATGAGGGTGCGGGTTCGAAAACCTACCAATGGCAAGTACCAATATGACTTTTTCCGAGTTATATGTACTTTCTAAGATTATTCAGACACCACTGACAAACAGTGAAGGAAAACATCGTGAGGAAACCTGGGCTTATAATTTCTAATTATAAGTTTGTAATCACCAACCTGCGTTGAGCAAGGGTGGTGATTATTGCTCAAACCTTCTCCATGTGAGAGGCTTTGCTCAGCCTCAGCAGTAGACATTTACAGGCTGTTGATGTATGAGAACTTTGCACCTATGCAGATTATAAATGAACTAGCTTTTACCTGCAGCTTCGGTCGCGTCACAAAAGGATAAAAAGTAGCCTATGTGACATATATCAATACATACAGCAACATCTATATGTTTTGTTCTTCAATTCTTTTGTTTTCCCTTGGGAATATCAAATTTTCCTGGATAAAAAGTACCCTATTATTTAATCCAGACTTCTAACTTTACGTCTGCAAAATTACAAAGCAATCGGTTTAGTAGTTACGGCGTGAAAGCGGAACAAACAAACAAACTCACTTTCCGATTTATAATATTAGTAAGGATAAACGGATCTATGTCATATCATAATGATATAAAGTTAATGGCCCCAAATATTAAATTAGGTATTAAGGTTTTAATGAATAATTTTGTATAGAACTTATTTTTTTTAAATTCACTTAACGATAATAATAATATTTAGGTATCATGTTAATTTCATGTGTATTTAGGTAGTTATTTTAATTGATCAAACTTTACTGTTGATCGATTATTAATGCTAAAATTTGTAATTTTGAATTATTACTAGAAATTTCTGATTTCAAATTAAGATGTTTATCTGTACTATAACTAATTTATTACAATTTTATTTATTACTTAGATACTAAATTTTTTTTTAGATTAATAAAACCATACCAATATGTAGTTTCTATTATTTTTAAAGATTATATAATTATAACTTTTAAGAGTCATACTTTATCTTCAAATTCAATATCAAATAAATTAACATAAGATAAAACAAAGTTCTAAAAACATTATTATATAAAAAATATTTAGTTATGTTATATACGCATATAAATCTCTTTAATTACTGAGGGACTGACTGACTGACAGACAACGCACAGCCTACTGGATCTAGGAAACTCAAACGTCACATGTATGTTTCTTGAGAAGTGTACGAGAGGACTTCTCTAAATTCCAATGTCAACATTAAAACGGGAATCTTCTTCTATTTGTACATAAAGTTGCTGGCAGAAAGCTAGTTAGTCATAATTACACAAACCACAGAGGTTTGTGCCATCTCACAATGCACATACTAGGTGGCAGTACCTATGTCACGTCATAGCTTTATTGTTTGTCAGTTGAGAGAACAGATTTTACAATACTTATTGGACAAAACTATGTTTTTGGTTTGGTTCTGAAACATTTAATAGAAAATGAACACACTTGAATTTGAAGATTATAATAAACCAGTGTATAGAAAGTTAAAATTCAAAATTAGAATAATTATACTATGAAAGATACCTTGTTAGACCAGCATTGTAGGTTCATGGGAAAAGGGTGGATCATAAACAGGAAAATAAAACGAGCAGCCTGAGGTGCCATTGAAAGAAAGAACTAATTCGATAGTATCAAGCCTTACTAGACGATCAAGCTAGAAGAAACAGTGGGTGAAAGGATGTCACCTGGTAACATTTGTATATACCTGCACGTCTTCACCGCGACAGCTTGTAGGCTCCAGCTCTCGTATCTCGTCCAGCAGCAGCTCCACTTCGTCCGTCGAGTAAAGCTCGCTCACTGACACGTAGCGCGCCGGCGCCGCTTGCATATCACCCGGCGAGTCGCCTACCGCCGAGCGCCTTCGCCTCGGCACTTTCTGTAACCACTAACCACGCTCACCATCACGTTCCACTCGGTCTTACTTCTTTACACTCAAAAGTAATGTTACAAACCTTTTCCGCACGTTAACATTGAGGCTCCGTCCTCTTGTATGTGACCACATCATCCAAAGGCATGAAATCCTCTATTACAACAACGTTGCCCTAATAAACAAAATCTAAAACCAATGACGCTCCATGGTCCGCCGCCATGTTTGTTATCATATTTTTTTTCTTTCCGTCATTTGATTGAGTTCGCGGAGTTCGTCAAGCAACCATACGGAAGCTTTGCCCATTGCAGTGTTTCCACTTTAATAAATTCCTTTTCCCATGTGGCCACGTCTCAATTCAAATTTCCCCTTCTCCGGACCTTTTTTCCCTCGAAAAACATTCCTGAACTTGGAAAAGACTTATTTTTTTTTTTATTATTTTAATCCTTAATTTTTAGTATAAAAATATATACCTACTATCTGCTCTAAAAATGAGCGGATACCATTTTCTGAAAAACTGCTGAACTGATTTTAATGAAACTTTAATTATTTACAAGTGTAAACTCGGCAAAAAGATGTCTCAATTTTTTTAAGCAGCAACTGAGTTTATTTTATTTCTTTGTTTGAAACACAGACGTATATGGACAAGCAAACCAAACATTAGTTAAAGTGAAGCCAAAAAAAAAACACCTAAGAAAAAAGCTTAAACTGGGCCAGACTAAGGGCGGCACTAAAAAATAAAGGACTTTATTACCTACATATAAATAAGAGATAAGCGTGTTTTTGGGATAAACAGTCAAAATGTATAAATACTAAATAAATATTATCCATCTATAATTTTTATGAATAATGTGTAACTTGTAACTCGACGTATTCCTCTCGGGAGGTGATAATACAACTAATTTCCTATAAATTAGCTCGGAAGTCTCTGGTTCGAAAGTGGCTAGTTTCTGAGATATTCAACATTTTCGGTTTTGGTGAAAAAATCCCAATCGAACTACAAAACCATCAATAAATAAAAAAACTCCTGGTTTGGTTAGCTTAGTGTTGTCAATAATAATATATCAATAAACATTTATTAATACAATGTAATACTGGGAATAATATGATCCGTTTTAAAATAGCAAGTAAATTAGTTATAGTATCAAATTTTGATTTGAGTTATTGCGTTGCGCCCAAACTATTAAAAAACACTAAATTGTTTACAAAATTCTCATAAATGAATTAATAACTTGATGATAAGTAAAGTGTAAAAGAAGAAGAAATAACGTGCAATTTCAAAACCATCATCATTTACAAAATTTTGTTCAAAGTGACCTTCATTATGATGAATACATGCTCGCCATGCTCGCACACGCTCCTTTATCTCTGTGACGGTCACTCTTGAACTGAATGAGCGCCTTTTTTCTTTAGCCGGTTCACTTATAAATTGTATAAGATCCAAGCTTTTTTGCAATTTGACTAAGATTGTATTACCAACTATCACAATATCCATTATAAGTCCCAAAAAGCAGTGCTGTGACCGGACAATCGCGTGGTGGTGGTGTGTTGGTCGCGACGCGTAGGGAATTACCCGTTACCCCGGAACCATTCCTCCACTCTTCTGCAGAAGACCTTTGGATTAGCATACGATTTAAAAAGTCAAACTCACGAGATTTCGTAAACCCATACGTTTGTGCTGTTTATTTATTGTAAACAAAAAAACGGTTATTCGTTCTCGAATCAACTTAACAATTTTTTTACTAAATTAAACCAAACTACCTTAAATCATTTTTCCGATGTGCTTCTTATTGTAGGTGACTTTAATATGAGTGGAATTTCGTGGAATTCATCCACTAATAATTCGCTAATCCCAGTGAACCCTACCACTAGCGACGAATGTATGCTCGCCGATGAGTTATGCACTCTGGGTCTTCAACAATACAATGGAGTGACTAATAGGTATGGGAAATTGTTGGATTTGGTCCTCTCATATAAATTAGCCTGTGTTACTGAGTGCTTGGACCCGCTAGTCGCTATTGATCCCTATCATCCCGCCTTGTTAGTTGATATCGACTTGTTTGAAATGCCTTCTTTGGACCATGCACCGCGGCTAAGATATGTTTATAGCAGAGCCGATTTTGTATCTATTAACAAAGAAATTCTTGCAGTGAATTGGGAACAACAGTTTTCGTCTCGATCTCTGGACGGCTCAGTTTCGTACTTTATGGATACTATAAAGGAATTACGAAATAAGTATATACCACATAAGCTTGTTCGTAATAATAGTTACCCCATCTGGTTTAGTAAATCGCTCATTAGAACTATCAAGGAAAAATACAAATATCTTAAAAAATTCAAGACTTATGGTAATAAATCCGACGAATTATCTTATAAACACTTGCGGGATAGAGTCATGACTATGGAAGCCTCATGCTATAACTGTTACCTTAATCAAACTGAAACATCTATTAAAAATAACCCTAAACATTTTTGGACATTTGTTAAAAATCGTTGCAACTCGAACGCTATGCCTAGTACACTAAAATACAATAATGAATTATTACTCACTGGTGATTCTATTTGTGAGGCTTTTTCCTCTTATTTCCATTCCACTTTTCTCGAGCCCAGCTCAACGACTATTCCCTATATAGCCCCTGTTTCCTCCTCAAATACTACTGTATCTCCCTCTAATATTTCTAACATTGAAATCAAAATTGATGTTGTGACCAACCTACTCCGCAGTTTAGACCCATCCAAAGGAGCTGGTCCTGATAAAATATCTTCTAAATTTCTTATTAAATGTGCTACTTCTATTGCATTATCTATCTCTATTCTGTTTTCCAAATCCTTGTCTCAAGGTGTTGTCCCCAGAGTGTGGAAATCTGCGTTTATTACACCGGTCTATAAGAAGGGGTCTAAAACTGAAGTTACTAACTATAGGCCTATATCTAAATTGTGCATTATTGCTAAATTATTTGAGCGTATTATTTATAATCAGTTATACCCTGCTCTTGCACCTTCGCTTGGCTCCTTCCAGCATGGTTTTTTGAGGGGACGGTCTACAACTTCTAATCTGATTTTGTTTAATGATTTTATTACTAAAGCTATGGATGATGGTAGCCAGGTCGATGTGGTTTACACTGAGTATAGCAAATCATTCGATCGTATTGATCACGACACTTTGATCAAGAAGCTAAACTCTATAGGTATTCATGGGGACCTCTTGAGTTGGTTCTCCTCATATATCAATAATAGATCGCAGGCTGTAGTGATCAATAATTATATATCTAGTTGGGTCTCAGTGCCTAGCGGAGTGCCTCAAGGTTCGTTACTTGGGCCCTTCTTATTTGTAATCTATGTGAACGACATCGATCTGTGCCTTCGATCATCCAAATTACTGTGTTTCGCCGATGACATGAAAATCTTTGCCAAAATATCATCGGTTGAAGATGGATTAGCACTTCAGGCTGATCTACATCGTCTTGAAGTCTACTGTAGGGCTAATAAACTCGATCTGAATCCATCTAAGTGTTCAGTAATTACTTACACTAGGAAACGTGCCGCTCTAGTCACCACCTACATCTTATCGGGCCAGACTTTGCCAAGGTGTGATACCATCCGTGACTTAGGTGTTCATCAAGATAGCAAATTAGTTTTTGACACCCACGTTGACACTATTATCAAAAAAGCCTCTAAATTGCTTGGGTTTATTATGCGTCTCTCTAAGTGCTTTAATAACGCCAAAACACTAAAAATTTTGTATTGCACCTTTGTTAGAAGTCAGCTTGAGTATGCGTCTCAGATATGGAACCCACGTTACCATAAGTACATCGACCGCATAGAAAACATCCAAAGACGTTTCATTAAATATCTCTGTTTTCATCAAAAAATTCCTTATCACCCTGTCGATTATCTTCGACTCTGTAAGAAATATCATTTATTACCTCTCAAAGATCGACGTGAGATTGCCGACTTTTTGTACGTATTAAAAATCTTAAATAACAATATTGACAGCCCCGAACTTCTATCTAAATTTCACTTTAATGTACCACAAAAAATATTCCGCAATAACCCACCCTTACGTGTGCCTCTAGCATCAACAAATTACAGACAGAATAGTTTTATTATACGAGCGGGTAGACAGTTCAATAATATATGTAAGCAGTATGACTTTGATCCCTTTGCGACTAGCGTGGCGTCGGCCAGAAGACGCATGAGCCTCAGGTTTTTTAAGTAGCATCTCAATTGTATCTCTAGTTTTCGGAAATGTTTATATTATTTTTATCTTTCACTTATTCTTGTAACTAAAGGTTTCTAGTTAATACTAGTTTCTAGTTGATCCTTGCAATTAACTGGTATAATAAACTGTACAATTTTAATAAGCAATGTAACTGTTCTGCCTGTAGTTAGATGAGGAACGGGATACGTGTAAAGGTGGATTAAATCTAAATATTTTATTAGGTACATTAAATTTGATTTTTGATAATAGTTCTGGACTATCCACATTGCCGTTAAGAACCTTAAACAAGAATAGACAATCTGCAATATTGCGTCTATCTACCAATGGTAATAGATGGAATTTTCTACAGAGTTCAAGATAACGGGCAGACTGGTATGGTTTATTTTGGTGGAAACAGATATTTTATAGAACGTTTTTGAATGTTTTCCACGCGGTCAATATATTTCTGATATCTTGGATTCCATACCTGAGATGCATACTCCAGCTGGCTCCTGACATAAGTGCAATATAGTATTTTAAGGGTCTTTGCATCGGTGAAATTTTTTGAAAGACGCATTATAAATCCTAGCAGTTTAGAGGCTTTTTTGACGACTGCATGCAAACCAATTTGCTGTCTTGATGGACGCCTAAGTCACGGATAGTAGTGCATCTTGGTAAGGGCTGACCCGCTAAAGTATAATTAGTGACATGGACAGTGCGCTTTCTAGTGTAAGTGACTACGGAACACTTAGATGGGTTGAGATCCAGTTTATTTATCCGACAATACTCTTCAAGCCGATGCAAATCCGCCTGGAGTGCCAGACCATCGTCAGGAGTTGAGATAGTAGCTGACAGTTTCATGTCATCAGCAAAACATAAAAGTTTGGATGTACGAAAGCACTTGTTGATGTCGTTTACATAGATCACGAATAGAAAAGGACCGAGTAACGATCCCTAAGGTACTCCGCTGGGTACATTTACCCAGCTAGAAATGTAGTTATTGAGTACTACTGCTTGTGACCTATTGTCGATGTATGAAGCGAACCACCTCAAGAGGTCGCCGCTGATGCCTGTGTCAATAAGCTTCTGTAACAGGATATCGTGGTCAATCCGGTTAAACGCCTTGCTGTAATCTGTGTAAACCACATCAACCTGCTTACGTTTATCCATAGCATCCGTGACAGAGTCATTTAAAAAAATAGGTTGGAAATAGTAGACCTCCCTCTCAAAAATCCGTGAAAGGAGTTAAATGAATTGGCCAAGGCGGAGTATAACTGTTTGTAGACAGTTTGTACGTATGTTTTGTATGTTCGTAGTTTCGTACTTCGTTCGATAATAATAAAATCACTTGTTTCACTTGTTTCTTGTACGCCGTACGGAAGAATCTGCTCTTGAAAATGAGCAGCGCCTCTCGAGAAATAGAGAATACATTTCGCAAGCACGCGCTACAAAATCTAGTTTCGAGCGCTCACAGCGCCTCGCTAGCCAAAATGTGAGGACGTCGCGGACCCGTGCTCGAGAAAATAGCGCTGAGCGGTTGATAAATAAATAAAATACATAAGTAAAAGGGTTAAGTTACCTTGAGCAGAAAAGATAACTTCGGTAATCTTTGAAGTCACTGATCTGATTCCAAAAAATATTTTGCTAATAAAATTAAATACAGTAATATCAATCGAGTGTAATCGTATGTTAAAACAAGAAATTTTCCGCTGACGAAGTCGCGGGCAGAACCTAGTACATTATATAAATAGAATCGAATAAAGTACAGGTTATTTTGACAGTCGCCACGTCGTGGGTCGCGTGCTGCT